TCCGTCCGGCGCGGCTCTCGCTCTGGTGGACGATCATGACTTGGGGGATGCCTTGGGTGAGCGTTGGGCGGAGGGAAGTCAGCATGATCAGCCCGGTCGACGAGCTTCTGTTTCTTGCGGCCGGGAGGAAGCATCGGGCCTGAGAGAGCCCGAGTGGGCAGACTAGACCGCAAAGAGTTCGAGTTCAAGTTAGAATTCGAGTTCGAGTTCAAGTTAATATTCGAGTTCGAGTTCAAGTTAGAGTTCGAGTTCGAGTTGGAGGAAGAAGAAGAAGAAGGAATTGAAGGATGAGGGAGTTGGAGGAGTCTGATAGCGGCCTGGTTGGGCGAATGAGGGCGATGGAGATGGTCGAGGAGGGAAGCGTTAGGGGACGCGGTGCGATTTGGGATCTTGAGGAGAGGTTCGAGCGGGCTAGGGTTATCGGATCGGGAGAGGTGAGCGGAAGCGGAGAGGATGTCTTGGATTGCCGAGCGAGTCGGATCGCGTCTTTCGGTCGATTTGGATGGAGATTTCGGGCCCGAAGAATTAGAAGGATTTCCAGTGATCGGCTTAGTGTTAGTGGAAGGGCCGACGGGGACGGAGAGGGAGATCGAGGAACGGTCGAGGCCGAGCCCTAAGAGCACCGCGGCGGCCTCGACGGTCTCTTGTTCCGGCTCCAGTCTCGGTTTGTCAGCCATTCGCTCGTCGACGGAGGGGGGCTCGGGATCGGGAAGGGTGGAGCGGTCGCCGGCGACGGAGAAGCGGCGGCTACGGGCCGAAGAGTCGGCGACGGATTCGAGGCTTCGTTGGAAGTATTCCTCGGTGGAGTCTCTGCGTCTCTGAGTGGCCCTGCGCTGAGGATGATGATGCTGGAAGGCCGAGGCTGAGGCTGAGGTTGAAGAGGAGGAGGAGGAGCGGGAGGCCGCATGACGTTCGCGCATCTTGCGTTCATAGACCGCCAGCTCGGCGTAATAGCGGACCATCTCCTCCTCGTACCTGCGTTGCTCGGCGACGATCCGGGCCTCCGACCATCCGGCCGTCGTTGTTGCGGCTTCTTCTTCTTCTTCTTCTTCTTGGTCCGCTTGGTCTGCCTGCTCAGACTCGTTGCTCTCCTCCTTGCCCCGCTCCTCCCGCGATCCACTCGACTTTCTCGAGCGTGATCGACGGCCCCGGGACGGCTCGGGGGACGGCCGAGTGGAACGAGCCCTGCTGCGCGACACCTGCTCCTCCGTCGATCTGCGCCGTCGTCCCTCCCCGCCGGACTTACTATTCTGAGAACGCTCCTCTTGCTCTTCGGGCGGCCGGGGCGAGTGTGCCCGCTCAGAAGCAGCCCTAGAACGCTGGAGCTCCTTGCTCCGATCGTCTGCTGGTTCTGGCTTTGGCTCGGAGGGCTCGGGCAAAGAAGGCTGCGGCTGTGGGTCCAGATGGTCCTTGGTCTGTGTCGATGGTTGCTCTCCTGATAATGAGGATGGTTGTGAGGGGAGTGGTTTTTTCTTGAGCCGGGGGTCGCGACTGATCGACTCTCGATCGGAGGCTGCTGTCGGGTTCTCGACTGGGACGGGGAGGGTGACCAGTTCTTGTTCCTGCTGGATCATCTGCGGTTCTTGTTGGTCGATGGGCTGGGCATTGATGGGTGGCTGAACGTGTGATATTTTTCGTTGTTGTAGCAATCTGTTTGGTTTCTGTGGATGATGATGTATCAGTGTTTTTTTTCCCTTAAGAGCAGAGTGAAGTTGACTGACTTGATCGATTGATTCGGCTGATTGTATGGATGAGTGGAATGAGTCTGGTGGTGTTGATGGGTGTTGTTGTTGGTTTTTGTGTTTCTGGTATTGGTGTTCTTGTTGCTGGGTGATGGTGAGTCTGAGCTGTCTGAGTTTGGTGAGGTCTGAGTCGATGGTGTGGATAGGATTCTGATCGCTGATCACGTTCTTGCTCGTACTGGCCACTGGGTTGTGCTGGTCACCCTCACTCATCTCGTCTCGTAAGTTGTTGTTGTTGATGGTCGTTGGAGGCTGGAACTCACTCTTGTGAGACTGAAAGGGAGTCAACAGGAAGAAGAAGAAGCAGGGGCAAGCAAGGGCACAGGGCACAGGCTGATGACCAAGCACAGCTGAAAACAAATGTAAACATAACAAAACTGATGCAACTAAAACACAAACTTAGAGTTCATCATGCTATGTTGTAGTAACAAATTAAATACCTGCTTGGTCGGGATAATCAGGAACAATTCTCTTCTTCTCGATCGAGCAATCTAGAATACCTATACTCATTCAAGACCCTCTCCTACTCTGACTACAACCACTCTCTATTCCTTCATCTTTCCTTATAAAACCACCAAACCAAACCAAAAAGAAAAACCTTTCAAATATAGATGGGATGTGTTCATTCAATTTATTTAAGAAGTCATTCCAGACCAAGAAAAACAGCTCAGTGTCAAGATATCAACAGACAGATTTAACAAGGATAAAAAAGCTTCTCTCAGCTGTAATCTACATAACATAAATCATACTCTTTTGTTGATGTAAAAAAAAAAACAGAATCCCTGGGAAAAATCAACAATCATTGAGGTCATCTCTGCCGTCATCTTTGTCGTTGCTCTCTCCGAGTTTGACACGGGGTTGAAAGAAGATCCATCCGTTGTTTGTCTTCTTCCACTTTCTGTCAAGTTGATTTTGTTTAGGGGGGTTTTTAGGATGCAGGAATCATTGAGCTTTTTTTTTGAGGCAATGTACTACTGGACCTCCAAATGGTTCACACACATATATGTACATACCTCATGCATCTGATTGCTCAACAAGATCAAACTCTGCAAAACAGAATCATCTCCTCCATCCTAGTTCTTCCATGTATTCAAACCTTTGACTTCCCTGGTTACAATAGCGGAGTTCATGGTTGAAATTTCTAGATTTTTAATGCCAATCTTAAGGTATTTATTCATCAACCACATTTCAAAGATTTGATCAGTTGGATGGATTTGGGGGTTTCTGAACAATCCACACAACTTTTCAGATTTCAAAATTATTATTGATAATCAGCTTCAATATTTCATAAATTTCAATCATGAACCCCGCTACATAATCTGTTTTCCTTCTCCAATATACCTTGAAGAACAAGAAACACCATGGTCAGTGAGCAACAGAGGAGGATAAGGAACATTGGAAGCTTGGGGCTAGTTTTGTTAGCAATAAGTTCCTCATGAACATCAATTGCAATCCTGCTTTAAAACAGGTAAATTCTCTCTCCCCCCCCCCTTTCTTTCTCCACACACGTTTTTCCCGTTTTTCCATTCTAGAAGAAAGAAAGAACCAATTTTTATGTCCATTATATCACATGTGGTACAGATACAACACAGACCCAGAAAGAGATAGCAACCATGAACAAATTTGTTTGTTCACCTCCCTCATATTACCTCTTGTTCTCCACAACATTATATCCATCTTCTTTTGATCATTTTTTCTGTTCTTCTGTTTCAACAGATTATCAAACACAGCTTAATAGAAGGAATACAAGATGTTGTAACAAAAAAAAAGACACTGAAACAGGATCCATCCAGCTCCTGATCCACTTCTTCCACCCGGAAGTTGAAATTCCAAGAGTCCCTATACCATGTCTCTAATTTCCCCCCATTTCCTTTCTCTCTTTTTCTGGAAACCTCCCCTTTTGCATGTATATTATGTGTCTTCTCTTTGATTCTTTTTGGACTACTTTCTTTTGAGTGGAGGGGGCAGGGTGGCAAGCAACAAGTGATAATTTCATGTTTTTTCTTTCTGGAGAAATTCATTTGTATCCAGTGTATGTATCTTAGAAGTGATTCATATACACAGTCATATTCTTCACAATTAATGAAAGCCTTGATGACCAATTTCAGCAAAGAAATTGTGACAGATAGCTGTATCAGTGATTATATCAAATCTTTTCAGGTGCTGGTACACTTCAGTTGAAAGGACTTATTTAATGGTTGGTCATTACATTAGACAATTGAACTGATGTAAAATCACATGAAAATGTCTGATATAAGCACATACATCTCAAGTGCTTCGGATTTGTGGATCATTGTGATTCATGAGACCACTAGCCACATATTTATACCAAAATCTTTCTCAAGTCATCTTACAGCAGATCCAAAGAGTAGGTCAATTCTTGCCCACCAAAAAAACCAACCTCCAGGTCCAGATGTCTCTAAACATCACATCACACTACATTATTATCTGCATCAAATTGATGCGCTTATAATTGGAATCAGATAGAGGCCTCATGGCCAAGTCAATCTTTGATAATAAGTGATGATGATACCTGGCCCAGGTTTCAAGAAGAAGTCTGCTAATATATTCAGTTGGTTGAAACTCTTGCTGATTTTTTTCTTGGAAAATGATGATGCATGGACTGTGTAACTTAAGGGGGGAGGAAGAAACAAAACAGTTTGAATAGAGAAACAAGTGATGGATCTGCTGCATCTTATCATGAGAAACTTACAACATACTAGGCTGAGTTGTCTTGCTTCAATCTTAACCTCTTAGAAATCAGTTGAACATAACAGAAGAGGAAGGCTGAAGCGGGTTTGGGCAATTTATATCAAAAGTACTGAGGTTAAAGCTTTTGGAGATCCATGATCAAGAAAGAGTGTCCATGTAAAGATTGGCAGGTCACGGCAATCTCATAACTTGTGTGATATAGTGTTGAAGAGTAGCAATACTTCTAAAAGCCTCTACTTTAACACATAATCAAATTCTGATACTTCCATTAACACTGAAACAGATACAATACACTGTGTGGATCATGGAGAATTCTGAAACGCTGCATGGCCAAACACCAAATTTGTTGGATCTCCTTGAAAATAAAAGCACATTGTTCAAATAGTTTTTTATTGGGGTTCAGATACATGGAGTGTGATACATGGCAGATACTGTATCTGTTTCAGTGTTGCTTCCATGATGGCATGGATTTTCAGGGTGATACTGTATGATTAGTTCTATTGCTGGGCTCCAAGGGGAAATACTTAAAAGGAATGATGTGATTGTGTGGGGGAACTCTTTCTGGATAGGTTGCAACAGTATAGCCACCTGCAGTTGCCTCTGTTACACAACTTGCACATTAAAGACAACAAGTGGCTGTGCAGCATATCTCCTATGGATGTTTCTTTTGCAATGATTCTTGTATATAGATAGATGGAATTGATTTGTTTTTAATGGATGTTAATGCATAAATGTTGGCCGTTTTTTGGGTTTCTGGTTCATAGCTCTGGGTTTAGGGTGAAGGTTAGAAAGGAGAAACTGTATAAATGGAGGACTTCCCGTTGTGATTTAGAGAGCTTTTTTAGACCTGTCTAAGCCCTAAATCAACAACACAAGCAAGATTACCACCAGTTCCCATCAGAGCCATCGCTAGAAGGCTGCTAAGAAAAAAAGTCTGGAAGAAACAGTCTTTTGACTAAACATTTTTATCTGAGGGGTGAATTGAATTCTGGGAGGGTAGATTGCACTGGGAAGGTATCAAATAATTGATGTGTTTTATAAGTAAAATGATGAACCACTACAAGATCATAACTGAAAAACCATCATCTCTAAATCTACCATAAACAACTTTGTAAGACATATATTGGGTTGTAATCTCAACATTCATGTTAGCAAAATTATTGTGAGTAAATATAACTTTCTGCAGATTACAAATTTTCTGATTGTTATCTTCAAATTCCCAACAAAATGGAAAAGAAAATGTTCTACTGTCTCCTCTCTAGCTTATATAACCCTCGTGCGCACGCACGGAGTGCAGGTGCAAGCAAGGCTTATGACCGAAGTTGAGTCGCTTGGTGGTGAGGGGATTCTGTTTTACCCCTGTTTTCAACAACCCATCAAGTATGTTCCATTCCTCATGTGTACATAGAAATGTGAATAGACAGGAAGATGGGCTTGCTTCTTGCAAAGCTTCTCATATCCTCAGAGCTATTTCCATCCCCCACCCGGGGGTCTTTGTCCTTGTTCCAAAAAAAAGTAACAAAAATCTTTTCTAATATTAAATTCGGACTTAGGATAAAGTCAAAGCCATACCTCAATTTAATTGAGTATATGCGGACAGTTGATCTTTTATCAAGTGAAAAAGAAGTGATCAAAACAAAACTGTTCTTTTTTTGGATTTAATGTTGTATGGCATTCCAACCAGTTGGACAGCTAATACACATTTTTTCACTCATTCTGCAAACATCGTTTTTTTTTGGGAAAAAGACAGAGAAAAAAGCACAAGTAATACAACATTCATGGATAGCTAAAATTGAAGGGAGGATACATAGGTTGAGGCGCCCACCACTTTTCAAGTGATGGAATAGCAAAACATGACTGCTAGAGTAATTTGAAAAAAAAAAATCCCGTCCCACCAAAACTGAAATGACCTCACCTCTGAGCACAGACACTTTAGTCATAAGCCCTCAACCTTCGGTCTCGGGGTCCTTTGGACCCACCAAAACAAGACCAAGGTCAGAGGGCTTAGTTAAGCTAGGTCTCCTCTCATACTCATCTCAACTCCTTTCATATATCAATGAACCTCATCTTCATCTATCACATTCATTTGATGTTATTGTCCATTTTTAATCCTGTTGAAATGAGGACTGTTGGATGAACAGTGTAGGTGAGAATGATTGAACTCAAGTGCTATGAGCTTAGATAACTTTCAAGACAGGGGCACTGCTGGAGGTTAAGGGAAACCAATGGTTTAATATTGCTTGATGTAAACTACTATAAATAGAATAACTAAAAGCAGTCAACAAGTGGTTGACAAGAAATGAAAAATAATATTGAATAAGAATGCATACTATTGATGAATATTTCTTATGAGACTAGTTTGAACACACCCAACTACCAAACAAGGTCTCTTTAGACTACATGTGTGTGAAAGGAAGGCTACTAACATGCTACTAAAGAAGAAATAACAAATGATTCAAGTTATATAATGAAAGAAGTAAAGAAGATGAAGAAGGGGTTTT